GTCCCCCGCCGGCCCAGGCTGGGGCCGCGGCGCGAGGTTACCGTATTTATCCAGGCCGGTGCCGGACCCTTGGGGGCGGGTCACTGCGGGCGCGCTACCGTATTTTCCCGGAGCCGCGCAGGCCCTTTCCGGGAGCGGGAGCGCTGCGATTTAATTACGTATTTATCCCGGGGTGCGAGGCTCCGCGGGGGGCGTTGCGAGCGCGGGGGGTGGGTTGCCTGAACGTCCTCAGGGAGCTAGGGCTCGAGCCGGGCGGGGCGGGTTGCTGCGGCAGGGGGGAGGCCTACGCATTTTCGTGGGGTCGGGGGGTTTGCGACAGAGTTTACGGTTTCCCCAGCGTCGCTCGGCCCCCAGGAGTTGGCAAGGTTGTGCGCGGGGGGCGGCTGGGGTGGGGCTGGCCCTTTGGATTAAGGCGGCTATTTGATGAAAACCACGTTGCAGGCGGCTTGCAGTCTTCACGGGGCGGGGGAGCAGGAGCGGTGGAGTCGCTGCGGGAGTTACCGTGTTTGCGGTGTTTGCGTTGGGCGGTGTAGACTCCAGAGGAAAGAGCCGCGGCTGGAGACGCCAGGAGCTGGGCGCAGCAGCCGGGGCTGTGAGTGTGTCCTGGGACCCTCTCGGCAGAGGGCGGGGCCTCGGATAGCGCAGCTGGGAGAGTGGGGGTGCTGCCCTGGGCCAGGGCCAGGCCGAGACTGGTCAGTGCAGCTGCCTGGGGAGAGACTTGTGAGTGGGTGGGGTCTATCCAGAGTGATACCGGTTTCCTGCCCTAGGGTGTCTATTTGGCTGTGGCAGGAGGGTAAGGGTGAGTGGGAAGGGGTGTTTCTGAGACCCCATTCTGCAGACAGATTGACTGAGGCTGGAGGTGTGCAGAAGGCCTCCAGCAGCAAGCTCCCTGATGGGGATGGGGAATGATGGAGAGGCCTCAGTGTCCTGGGGGAACCCGTACTTGGCCTTCGTGGGGCATGGCAGTGATGGCCAGAGACAGTGACCTACGGGAGAAGTGGCCCTCTGAGAACAGTTGACTCTGCAGTGGCCTGAGTGGCGGCGGTACTCTGAGTGTGTGTGTGTGTACGCGCGCGCGTGCACATGCACGCACGCACACTGAGGGGTGTTCAGTTGTTGAGCAGCTAGTACATTGAAAAGAGCTTTCTACAGAGAAGCAGGAGAGTTAGGGCCTAGTCCAGGCTCACCTTGCTGTGTGACCTTGGGCAAGTATGTTGGTCTCAACAAGCCTCAGTTTCCCTGCCTATAAAATGGGGCTTAATAACCCTGCTATGGCCCTCCTTCAGGGCTATTGTGAGGATGGAGAGAAACAGTGACGAGGAACACTGCCCTGGGGGACGAGTGTGAAGGGAACTGGGTGCTGGGGTGTGCCCTGTGCGCTGAGCACTGAGCAGGGAGCTGTTGCTCAGCGGTGGTGAGGGGGGAGCAGGCTTGCTGGTGGGATTGCCACGAGGGAGCTCACTGGGTTCAGTGACTTGCAAACCTTTTAAACTCATTTTGATAAACAAAGAGCTGCTGTCTTTAATGTTTAACAACGAGGTCACTTTCAAGTTTACAGGGTTTTGTTTCTTGTTTGAAGCTTTATTTATTTATTTATTTATTTTTTTTGCTATAGGGCACGGGCCATCCTACCCTTGCCTCTAGGCTTGGGGGTGCACCTCCCTAACCCCTTCCTTGAAAACATGGTTGGAGATAAGACATACCTAGAAGTGTAACTTAAAACACCAAGAGCCTCTGAACATTGTCCATTGGCATTTACTCCCTGCCGAGGGGCAGGCACAGGGCTCCAGCTTTTTCCTTACTGTGCCAGGGAGGGCTACAGACAGAGGCATGGGACTGACCTTCATGCACTGGGATGAGTGAGGTCTATAGGGCTGGGCCACATGGTTCAAGGAATGCATGGAGAGGTCAGGAAGGCTTCTAGGAGGCGGTGACACTTGAGAAAAGCCTGAAAGGAGGGGAGGCTGTGGTTAAAGGGTAGAGAAGGGCAGTAATTCCCTATGGGGGAACTTTGGTGGAGCAAAAGTGGGTGAATGCTGGAGGTTGTGGGAGGTGAGAGTCCTCAGCCAGGCGCGGGTGGGGGTGAGGGAATGGGGGTGGCTGACCCTCCTGTCCCCCCTGACCCCTCTCTCTGCTTCTGCCTTCCTAGGGGCTGGTGATTGCAGCTGGAAGCTCCCATGACCGAGCTGGCGTCCTCCGGGGACGGGTCCCCTGCAGGGGACGGGGAGGAGGGCCTGGGAGACGAGCGCGGCCTGGTCATCCACCACCCGACCGAGGAGCAGCCCCACCGCTGCCCACTGTGCGGCCAGACCTTCTCGCAGCAGCCCAGCCTGGTGCGGCACCAGAAAGCGCACGCCGGGGCGGGCCGCGCGGCCGCCTTCGTGTGCCCCGAGTGCGGCAAGGCCTTCAGCGTCAAGCACAACCTCGAGGTGCACCAGCGCACGCACACCGGGGAGCGGCCCTTCCCCTGCCCCGAGTGCGGCCGCTGCTTCAGCCTCAAGCAGAACCTGCTCACGCACCAGCGCATCCACAGCGGCGAGAAGCCGCACCAGTGCGCGCAGTGCGGCCGCTGCTGCCGGGAGCCGCGCTTCCTGCTCAACCACCAGCGCACCCACGCGCGCATGCCCGCGCCGCACCCGCGCCGTCCCGGCGTCTTTGGGGAGCGGCGGCCCTACTTCTGCCCGCGCTGCGGCAAGAGCTTCGCGCGCGAGGGCTCGCTCAAGACCCACCAGCGCAGCCACGGCCACGGCCCGGAGGCTCAGGCAACCCATTTAGGCCGCGTGCTTTGACACCCTGGAGCTGGTGCGGGGCCACGGCCCCCTCTCTGGATCCGACACCGGGAGAGGGGGCGGACAGGTTTGGGGTCTTGAAGGTGGGGCTGCTGCCAGGCCCAGGCCGCTCCCTTCCCGCACTACCCCACGACACCCTCCCCGCCCTCCCCCACGCCGCTCGCTCCAGCCTGTGGCACAGGGCAGGCTGGGGCCCCTGCCTTGCATTTCCTCCTCCAGCTCATCCCGGCTTGAGCAGGTGAGACCCCTGCTGAGCAGGGCTGCCCAGCGCCCTCAGGCTTGGGGGTGGTGAGGGCCAGCGGGCTTCTGTGTTGATTATTCATGTAAGGGGCGGGGGTGGGGTGGGGCTGCTCCTGTCCCCCATGCTAGCGGGTCACCAGTGCACTTGGAGAGGGCCTCTTTCCGCAGTCCCCGGCCTCCTGGCACCTGCACTCATGTCTCAGTTTGTTCAGCTGTAAGTTGTGGGTAAGGACCCCTCCTCTTCCCTGGAAAGGTGTAGGGTCCAGCTGTCTGATAAGGTGAGGGCCGTGCCATCGCTTGTCCATTGCGGGTCCGAGTAGCTTTTGTTGGGCGCCGTGTGTCTCCTTCCTCTGCTGGGCTGCTCTCTGGAGTGGGCATAGAGGAAGACTCTTGGCCCCGTTTCTCTGGTGCTCACGCTTCCCCAGGGGCACAGAGGGATGGGAACCATGTACACACGGGTCTTTGAGAAGTTCATGGAAAATGTGCACTTGCAAAATACGCATGGATTCCACATCTTTTGCACCACAATAAACCTCTACTTTAATTCCATTTTCCCACTTTTTGAATCTTATAGTAGGGAACAGCCTACAGAAAGGAGCAGGGGTCTCAAGGGTCTTAGGGGTCATTCAGGGAAGAGAAAATGAGCCCTTGACTAAGAGGTTTGACACCCCCCCCCAAGTCCCACAGTGAGAAGGGGGGAGCCTAGCTTGCCCCAGGACTTCGTGGGCTGCTTCTGCAATCTGGTAGGTGAGGGGCTGAGGCCTGCCCCCACCATAGTCAGTATTAATGGCCCCACGTGTGGGAGCCTTGGCCCCCAAACCCCTTCGCTCCGCTGCTGAAAAATGGAAAATAGAGCCGGGAAGATTTTGGAATGTGACCAGAGATCATGTGACAGGAACTTGGGCAGGGGTGTCACCAGATGGCCTAGGAGTCTGAGGGGCGTCCTTGGTGATGGTTTTGGGGAAGGAAGCTGGGGGCATCAAGGGGACCTGCACTCCCAGAGGCTGGCTCATGTCCAGCCAGTGCCAGGTGCTGGAGACCCTCCCCTCTGCTCCTCTGCCTGGTTCCCCAGTGCCCGGTTGGCCTCCGCCTGCCACCCCTGGGTGGCAGTTGCAATGTGGAATAGTACTGGGACATCTGGGGATGTCACCCAAATGCCGGAACTCAAGGTGTCCCCTTTTTAAGAGGGATCAATACTCTTTGCAGTGCTTGGGAGGGGCTGAGAGGACTCGCTCAGGGCCCTGGACAGGTGCAGGTGGGCCAGCTGATTGCTCCCTCCTGGCCCCCGAGAGGGGCTGGCAGGGCCATGCCATGGCACCAGACCTGACCCTGATCTCTTTGTTTCAGTGAACAGATGTGGAGTGGGCGGGACTTCATGACCCAGAAGGAACAGGGCACATCTGGACACAGAGACTAGGAACGGGGTCCCATGGGGGCCTGACTGGCACTGCACCCAAGCTGGGGTCATGTCCCCTAAGAAGACCTACCTCGGAGGTACCTGTGGAAGCAACTGGATAGAGCCCAGACCTGGAGGCCAATTCTGAGCCCCAGTGGAAACACTCCCCAGGCCTAGAGGGTGTCCTGTCCAGGGCACACCTCATCCTGGCTGCTAGCTGCAGACTGCAGGGGTGGCGCCTGCGTGGAGAGAGGGCCTGTTTGCTCCGCCTGGTCCCCCACCTGGCTGAAGTTCAGAGACAGGAAGTGACTGGTCTATGCTAACCCAGCAAGTTGGTGACAGACTTGGCTCTAGGTGCAAAACGCTCCCCCAGGTGTGAGCAGTACCTATGGGCCTCATTTTCCTCCTGGACAGTGGTTCTCAGCATGCTAGGATCAGAAGGCTCTTTGCAGATCCAACTGAGGTCGTGGCTTCCCCCCAGGAAGACACACATTCCCACAGACTCAACAACCCCAAGCAATTCCAGGAACACCCGGACTCCAGGCCGAGAGCCTCACCCTGGGGCCTCACCTGCTGCCCTTTCCTTATTTGCCACTCACGGAGTCCCCAGCCGGGGCCACTGTATAAGTAGTGTTTCTCCCTCCCCGGCTGAGCCTCCTTCCCTCATTTGGGGGATAAAGAATCCCAAGGAGGGGCCCTTTCAGCCAGTCCCTCTCCCAGACCCGGCAGGTTTCTGGGACCAGACTTCCCTTCCCCAGACGTTGCTGCAGGTGCTCGGGTTGGATTTGCTCTTCTGGTTCTATTTCTTTTCTGCTTCTCCGGCTGCTGGTTTCACAATAGCGCCCTTAGCTCTGCCGGGCTCTGATTTTCCTGTGAGGTCCTGGGGGGG